ACTCTCACCCACACACCAAAAATCTCCCTGCCGGTGAGGCTTACACTGGGGAAAACGGGAAGCCACCTCTGCTGCTCCAAAATTTTAAAAATGGCTCAATGGTAGACCCAGCCACTCTTACTCAAGCCTTATTAAATCAGGTTCAAATCAATAAACCAAACTACGCAAAATTAACTTTGACTAACACCTATAATACTACACTGCCGCCATCTGAGAAAAGGAAGGGATCCCCCCTCTTTGATTTTCCCTCTACCCCACAAGCTAAAAAACAAGATGTCCCCACTCAAACACGCAATAAAAGCACAGCAAGACGTAGCTTGTTCAATGCTAAAACCCCCGGCAAAAGGCGTATGGAAAAGGAAGAAGCCCCGTTTGGCGAAACTCCCTGTAAAAAACACAGGAATTCAGCAGCTCTTTTGGGAGCAGATTTTTTTCACGAAAACATTGCCATACAGTCCCCAGTTTTCTCTAGTCTAGCCGCAAAAATGGTAGTTGCAGAGCGCTCTAGAAGAAACTCATTAGAAACTGAAACTGAGCCAATGGAGACGACTCAAAAGCCCCCACAGCTAAACGAAGATGTTGGCCTCCCCCCTTGGCAAATGGTTCCGTTTTCCAAAAAAGTGCCATCAATTTACATAAACAAAATAGCCGACTTAATTCCCTTACTGGAAAAATTTAATTATAGGGTAGGAGTCTCAAGCTACAGTACGAAAACGACAGTTGGGGAAGGGATTAGGCTTCAGGCCTAACAGGCCAGCCCATGAAAATTTTTGAAGCTGAAATTAGTACGAAGGGGGATGGCGAACACTTAAAAATCCTTGCTTTAAAACTACTGGGGGGTCAAAGGATAGAGGTAGAAAGGAAAAACAAATCTAAGGACCCAGTACAATGCTTCAACTGTCAAGGATTTAGACACACCACAAATTTCTGCCAATATCCCTCTAAGTGCATGAAATGCGCCGGCAACCACAAGTCAATGCACTGCAATAAACCGCGAACAAGCCCACCAACCTGTCCAAACTGTTCCGGCAGCCACGTCAGCTCTTATAGAGGTTGCCCTGCTTTCAAAAAAGCCAAAAACGCCTTAGTTACCAATAAAATTAACATGAACGAAATAAGAGAAACATTAAAGTCAGCTGCCAGGATAGACCCTCCCCAGCAAAGAAAAACACACAAACTTTTATATAGTGAAGCAGTTAAGAGTCACGCTAACTCTCACAGGAGGAGGGCGGTTTCCCCGCAAAAAGCACCACCTCTTAACTCTGGAGCAAATTGGCACAACCCATTCAAAATTTCCAAACAAACTGGGTCAATCCCTCCCCCCCGATCTTCCTCACACGTATCAGCCATACATAAAAGGCTGAATCGTATGAGAAAAAATTCTGCTGTTGTTGCCCCCAAAAGTATGCCTAACAAAGTTAAAGGAAATACCAAAAAACCTCTCCAAAGGCAGCCTCTTAAACAAGGAAAAGACTCTGAAAGGAACCTTCAGGGCACTCAAGAGACAGGGGACAGCCCGCCAACTACCAGTCGGGCCGCCAGGGCAAACTTTAAACCAAGAATAATCCCCCAAACCAGCTCCTCTGAAACCAGAAATAGGAAGCAATCTCCTAATTCAAAAAAAGAAATTCTCTCTGAACCGGGACTGGTGATGCGGGTTGAAATGATAGAAAAGAAAATTGACCTTCTTATGGAAAACTTTTCTAAATTCTTCAAGACCCAGGGAATTGAAATTCCGCTCGGAAAATCTATTTCAACAAACTCGCCCAACGAACGCCAACCCATTTTTGTTTAAATAACCATTCTCCCGGCAGTTATACCGACAAATTATGAACTTAAATCAATTAAATTGCCCAAATGGAAATACCCTTAAGTTGGGGTATTGGATGCATTCCAATAGGAGGAGTTGGACGAAAAAGGGACGAGCTTGAGGTTTTTATGGATAGGGAGGAAATACAGATTATGATGGTCATTGAAACAAAGGTGAAGAAGAAACCTCAAATCCTAGACTTCCCAGGTTTCTCTACGTATCATGCTCACAATCCTAGCGGAAACTGTAAAGGTGGCACTGCCATTTTGGTTAGGCATAACATTAGGCATTCCGCCTTAGAGCCAATAGAAACTGAGTCCTGCCAGTGTTCCCCGATCGTTATACTCCCTTCTAGTGGCCGCCGCGCCGATATGATTATAATTGTGCCAATTTACTGCCCACCGATTTTCAACTGGCTTCCGACTCACTTTGATAGACTTTTCAAACACTTTGATGACCTGTTAGGAGGCAGATCAAAATTTATTATAAATGGAGACTGGAATGCCAAACATAGAAGCTGGGGCAATTATCAATCGTGTGCTAGGGGAAGAATTCTACATGAAGCCTTATGTTCCAGAAGAGATTTGGAAATCCTGGCTACAGGACAAGCCACTCATTTTCCTTTTGACAAAAGAAAGCAGCCATCCGCAATTGATTTTTCGGTTTTTAAAGGCTTGCGCCGCAGAAATTTGAAGATCACTTCATCCCCCGATCTCAGCTCAGACCACCTTCCCTTAAGCATCCTTATAAATTTCAATGCTCAAAATTCCTTCTGCAGTATTTCAAACCACAAACCTATCATCTCAAAAGCCACAAACCTTAACAAGTTTAAAAAACTGCTTGGTGAGAAAATCCTGTTAAACACAGAAATCCACAGTGGTGACGATATTGAAGACTGCGTTGGTATTTTCTTAAAAAACATCAATGAGTCGGCTAAGGACGCCACCCCCCTTTTCCGCCCTCAAAATGGTTCAAACAATCGTCAACATAGCAGAAAGAATTTTATAACTCTGGACGAGAGCACAGCTAGACTTTTGGATGAGAAAAGGGAATTAAACAGAATTTTCAGGAGTACAGGAACTGAGGAAGCCAAAATCTGGTTTAAACATGCTCAAAATAAGCTGGCCAGGGAGATTAAAAAATTAAGGGAAAGAAATATAAACGAGATGGTTAAAGACATTGACACTACTAACCGATACAGAATGCAAAAGTTATGGAAAATTACCAATAATGTCAAAAACAAACGCAACCTTGCTGGTCTCTAAAACGTGAAGTCGACGCAAACTCCCCGGTTTATAGCAATCCCTAGACAAGAACTTTAAATGAGAAAGCGGAAGCTTTTGTACACCATCTCGAAGGACGTTTTAAACCAAATCTGAGAAATGAGGAGTCGGATAGGATGGAGACGAGAGTGGAGTTGGAAAGATTACAAAAAGGGTTATCTGCTGAGGAGTCTCCTCCTATTAGGCCTGTTACTCTGGAAGAGTTAAATCTTTTGATCGATTCCCTGGATAATAATAAGGCTCCTGGGCAAGATAAAATTGATAACAAGCTTATCAAACAACTAACAAAAAATGCCAGGCTTTATCTTCTCCTAATATTCAATAATATCCTCAAAACCGGCCATTTCCCATCAGAATGGAAACATGCTCAGATCACAATGATCCTTAAACCAGAGAAGAGCCCCTCTTGTGTAAAGTCCTACCGTCCCATCAGCCTCCTGTCGGGTCTCTCAAAAATGTTTGAAAAAGTACTCTTAACAAGGCTTTTTGAAACCGAACCTTTCGCAAATGCCATCCCAAACCATCAATTTGGATTTAAGAAAGAACACGGGGCAGAGCACCAACTTGAAAGAGTCACAAACTTCATTCTACAGGCATATGAGGATAAAGAAGTTTGCTCTGCCACTTTTGTAGACATTTCAGAGGCCTTTGATAGGGTTTGGCATGAAGGCCTACTCTTTAAACTCGCAAAACTGCTTCCAACCAGGCTCTACATCATCCTAAAAAACTACCTCAAGGGCAGAACATTTACAGTGAAAGTCACAAGCGAGGCAATTTCCAGGGAGGGTAAAATCGAGGCAGGGGTTCCACAGGGTAGCATCCTGGGCCCAATTTTGTACTCAATCTACACCATTCAACACAAATGCGTAAAACCCAGATTTTCCGTCCTACTTCTCGAAAAATGTAATGCTTGCCACATACGCAGACGACACCATCCTGATTGGCCGTGCTCAAACAGGGAATGCTGCGGTAAATCTTTGCCAAACCTACATCACCGAATTCTGCAAATGGGCAAAAAGATGGGACATATCCATTAACGGAAAAAAGACGGGGCATGTCCTTTTCTCCCTTAAAGGGAATCTGGAAAGCGGCCATTCCCCTCCCATAGTTGACGGACAAAGAGCGACGAAAAGTTCTAAACAAAAATACTTAGGTATTCTATTGGATAAAAGGCTCTCTCTAGGACCCCATGTCTTACTGCTAAAACAAAAGATAATTAGCGCTTACAAAAAACTGGAATGGCTCCTCGGCAGTAAAAGCAAAATGCCAAACAACACAAAAGCCCTTCTGTTCAAGCAAATCATCTCTCCCATTTGGCACTACTCCATAGCGGTTTGGGGATCCATTGTTTCCAACACAAATGCTGACAAAATCCAAGGTATTGAAAACAGACTGATTAGGAAATCCATAAATGCGTATAGATACACCAGTCAGGCTGCCATCAGAGCCAAATTCAACATAAAATCATTACCAGAAGTCTATAATCAGGCCAGCCAGCGATTTGTGGACTCAGTGGAAAGCCACACAAATCCGCTGATCAGGGATCTTCTAATAAATCCCTTCATACCAAAAAGATTGGCTCCAAGTAGACCGAGATACCTGGACCGATACAGAAACTTCTTTCTATCAAAACATCAAGCTCTTCCAAAACGACCAAAAGAGCCCACATATGATTGGATATATGGTTATACTGAGGAGGAGGAAAACAAGATCTGTTCCACATTAAGGCAATCATATCGAGAGAGTCTCCCGACCCTGCTTCGCTTGGAAGATGAGTTAGATGAGGTAAAGGAGAAAGAGGAATGTCTTAGAAAGAAGAGAGAAAAACGGAAGGCAATCAAAGAAAATCCCCCGAGTAGGTGGTGTGAGGGTAATATAAATAAATTCAACAAATTATATAGAGAGGGTAGAGTTTCAAGAGAATATTTAATAGAAATAATGGAGGGGCAGCCCATTGGGATTATAAGAATAATCATCCCGGACTTTAAATTACATCTGAGCAACCAAACAATATATTTTGAAACGGATTAATAGTATTTTCTACTGGAGTGCGATGATGCTGCGGTGTCCCCTGTAGGCTTGGCATCCTTACAGAGAGTGCATACCAGTCATGTTTGCGGTCTGTCGTGCGGCAGGCGACGGATTTGTGGCTGGTCTGACGGCGGCGCTAGAAATGCCTTGGCTGCGGCGCAAAAATGGCTGTCTCTCTCCGCGATTTTCCGCTCTTGGTGAAGATATTTATTTCTGCAAATTATGAATGAATTTACTTTCAATTATATCTGCTTTTGCTCGATACTTACACTGGATTTTTGAGAGGCGCTGCTTGACAGGTGAAAGGCGGGACCGGTTTGCGATCTCTGTTTTCAAACCAGTCGAGCTTATTCTGAGAGGTGGCGCGCATATGTGCGCCTGGACTGGACAGAGTCCACCTGCTAGTACACTGGTTTTCATCCTGCCATGAAAAATACCTTAGAAGGGAAAACAAAAATTAAAAAGAGTGATCAAACCGCTAATGCTTGTTAGAATTATCTATACACTTAACTGAGGGACGGCTGTTGCACCTGACTGCTGCGGAGGAAGGAAGGCCTTCTTACAGGACTGAGTTACTACCCAGAGCGTGCCAGAAGGACGGCGTAAACCAATTAAATAAACATCTAAAATGAAAATAAATATCAGACAAAAGTTAAAAAAGTTAATAAATAACACTTACCTGTTTTTAATCTACCGAGTCCGCTTGATGTTGCACTGGCCTTCATCTTGCTATGAACAATACCTAAAAAGAGGGAGAAAAAAAAGAATGAAAAGAGTAATCAAACTGCTAGTACTTGTTAAATTATCTATAGACCAGCGCATGCAGTAACTACTTAACTGAGGGACGGCTGTTGCACCTGATTGCTGCGGATGAGGGAAGGCCTTCTCACAGGACTAAATTGCTACCCAGAGCGTGCCAGGAGGACGGCGAGTACCAATTGAATAAACACCTGAAATGGATTGATATCAACAAGGGATTAAAAACACTGATAAGTAGCACAGACCTGCTTTTGACTCAGCGTGCCAAAAGGACGGCATGTACCAATTAATTCAAAACCTGAAATGAAAATAAATATTAGCCAGAATTTAAAAATACTGATAAATAACGCATATCTGCTTTCAATCCACCGAATCCACCTGAAATGGAAATAAATATTAGCCAGAATTAAAAAAAAAAAAACACTGATAAATAACACTTACCTGCTTTTAATCCACCGAATCCACCTGATGTTACTCCTGCCCTCATCTTGCTGCAAACAACAACTGGAAATAATAATTATTATTTATTAAATTATTTACAAACTAATGCATGCAGTATCCACTTAACTGAGGGGCGGCTGATGCACTTTATTACTGCAAATGTAAGAGCGTGCCAAAAGGACGGCATGTACCACTTAATTCAAAACCTGAAATGGAAATAAATATTAGCCAGAATTTAAAAAAAAAACAAGAGAGAACGTTATAGTCCGGTGCCCCGACTATCAGATACCCGTTACTCAGGTAAAGGGAGTGCGAGGGAGATGGAGATAGAAACTTTGATCACGCATAACTTTTTAACGAATGGTCCGACTTGAAAAAGTTCTTCTACATTTCGATAGGTATTGATAAACACAATAAAACTGCATTTTTACTTTTCCGAAATATTTAAATTTTTAAAATCGTATTTAAGCGATTGTGGGCGTTAAAGGGGGCGTGGGACCTTTTTGAAACAAACTTGCGCTGCGTAGGAACTCCTAGAATCTGCATGCAAAATGCCAATCTTCTAGCTTTTATAGTTTCCGAGATCTCAGCGTTCATACGGACAGACAGAAGACAGACAGACGGACAACGACGGACAGACGGACATGGCTATATCGACTCGGCTAGTGACCCTGATCAAGAATATATATACTTTATAGGGTCGGAAACGCTTCCTTCTAGCTGTTACATACTTTTGCACGAATACAATATACCCTTTTACTCTACGAGTAACGGGTATAAAAACACTGATAAATAACATTACCCTTAAATCGCCAACACCTGATTTACTAATTAACTCAACACCTGAAATGAAATAAATATTAGCCAGAATTTAAAACATTAATAAATAACACTTACCTGCTTTAAATCCGCCGAATCCACCTGATGTTACTCCTGCCCTCATCTTGCTGCAAACAACAACTGGAAATAATAATTAATATGTTATTAAATTTATTCACAAATTAATGCACTACGTATCCACTTAACTGAGGGGGTAGCTGTTGCACTTGATTAAACCTGAAATGGAAATAAAAACAGAACTTAAAAAGAGCGTGCCAAAAGGACGGCGTGTACTAATTAACTCAACACCTGAAATGAAATAAATATTAGCCAAAATTTAAAAACATTAATAAATAACACTTACCTGCTTTAATCCACTGAATCCAACTGATGTTCCACTTGTCCTCATCTTGCTACAAACAACACCTGAAATAAATAATAATTATTATTTATTAAATTAATTACACAAACTAGATGCAGCGCAGTATCTACTCAACTGAGGGGCGGCTGTCACATTACCGAACTGCAAATGGAAGAGCGTGCCAAAAGGACGGCATGTACCAATTAATTCAAAACCTGAAATGGAAATAAATATTAGCCAGAATTTAAAAAAAAAAAAAACACTGATAAATAACACTTACCTGCTTTAAATCCGCCGAATCCACCTGATGTTACTCCTGCCCTCATCTTGCTGCAAACAACAACTGGAAATAATAATTATTATTTATTAAATTATTTACAAACTAATGCATGCAGTATCCACTTAACTGAGGGGCGGCTGTTGCACTTTATTACTGCAAATGGAAGAGCGTGCCAAAAGGACGGCATGTACCACTTAATTCAAAACCTGAAATGGAAATAAATATTAGCCAGAATTTAAAAAAAACACTGATAAATAACACTTACCTGCTTTAAATCCGCCGAATCCACCTGATGTTACTCCTGCCCTCATCTTGCTGCAAACAACAACTGGAAATACTAATTATTAATTATTAAATTATTTACAAACTAATGCACGCAGTATCCACTTAACTGATGGGCGGCTGTTGCATTTGATGACTGCGGATGACGGAATGCCTCCTCACAGGACTGAGTTACTGCCCCAGAGCGTGCCAAGGGGACGGCGTGTACCAATTAAATCAACACCTGAAATGGAAACTAATTTCAGCCAAAAGCTACAAACCATAATACCTGCTTTTAATCCACTGATCCACCTGGTGGGTCTCCTCACAGGACTGTGTTGCTTCCTAGAGCGTACCAAAGGACGGCGTGTGCCAATTAAATCAACACCTGAAATGAAATCTAATTCAGCCAAAAGCTACAAAACATAACAAAAGGCACTTACCTGCTCTTAATCCACTGATCGACCTGATGACACGCCGGCCTCATCTGGTGACCACCTATACCTGGAAATCCTTATTAATTTTATCTACAAGCAAACTGTTGTGCTTGGCTTCTGCAGATAAGATAAGCCTATGCTTACTGGGCCGCTAATCATTGTATTATTTGTACTTACCTGCTAATAATCCACAGATCCACCTTATGCCACACTGGCTTTCTGTAGCTGCCAAGAACTTCCATGACGATAGACGGGCCTCTTGCGGTTCCGGTCTCCATCCGGAGCGCCGCTGCAAGGATGACAACTACTAAAAATACGTCAGCTATAAAATGGAAATTCCCAGAAAGCTGCGTAACTGCAACTTCTACTCCATGGCACTTACCAGCTGTAAATCCACCGATCCACCTGGTGTGGCACTGGCCCTCATCTTGAACTAACGATACCTGAAATGAAATTCAAAACTATTAATCTTTTATTGAATCTTGTAATTAATTTACTGCTGCCAGCAAATTTGAAAATGTAAACAAACAAACGCGGAGTTGCCACTTAAGAAAACAGCTGTTGCAGTATAGTCAGTACAATCTAGTATTTTAAAGCCGAAACACAAAATGTACTAAAATTAATGCTACCAACTGTCGAGCTCCTAGCTAAAGTTATCTAAGACACGTACCAGAATTGTGGTAGACTTTGTTACAATTTAAAAAAAAAAACTGTTATACTAAACCTAGCTTTAAGTACTAATCTGTCTCAAAGCATCTCTCTCATTAATTGTACCTATATATTCAAGTATTTGTAATCAGAGGCCAATAAAAGTAGCATGGGGCAACTAGGTACCATCCAGTCCTAGTCTGTCGTCCAGCAAGCAAAGTTAAAAAACAAATTTTTTAACAAATTCATCCAGGTATGCCATTCCAACATTCGACCACTATTTCCCAGGGTTTTAATTAAAAAACCGAAAAATCGAGCTGATATTATCCGGATTTGGGCCTTGTCATAATTGGGTGGGGGACATGATTCCTTTTCGAAAAAAAATTTCAATTGATATTTTTTTCATAATTGTCACTTTTTTGGGAATTTTGTTACGAATTCAACGAGGTATGCCACTCCAACATTCGACCACTATTTCCCAGGGTTTTGATTAAAAATCCGAAAAATTGACCTGATATTATCCGGATTTGGGCCTTGTCATAATGGGGTGGGGGACATGATTTCTATTCAAAAAAATTTTTAATTGAAAATGTTTTTCTTAAATGTCACTTTTTTGGGAATTTTGTAACGAATTCAACGAGGTTTGCCATTCCAACATTCGACCACTATTTTCCAGGGTTTTGATTAAACAACCGAAAAATGGAGGTGATTTTCTCCGGATTTGGGCCTTGTCATGAGGGCGGGGGTCATAATTTTTTTTGAAAAATTTTTCAAATGATTTTTTTTCTGTAAATGGCACTGGGGTGGAGAACATGATTTCTTTTTGACAAAATTTTTCAATTGATATTTATACCCGTTACTCGTAGAGTAAAAGGGTATATTGTATTCGTGCAAAAGTATGTAACAGGTAGAAGGAAGCGTTTTCGACCCTATAAAGCATATATATTCTTGTTCAGGATCACTAGCCGAGTCGATATAGCCATGTGCGTCTGTCTGTCCGTCTGTCTGTCCGTATGAACTCTGCGATCTCGGAAACTATAAAAGCTAGAAGATTGGCATTTTGCATGTAGATTCTAGGAGTTCCTACGCAGCGCAAGTTTGTTTCAAAATGGTGCCACGCCCCCTCTGACGCCCACAAGCCACAAGCTGTGGCCAAAGTGTTGATGATATTATGAAAATTTTAATTGATATGTATTTGTTTCGTCAATAAATATCGATTGGCCTAATTAAAGTTTGCCACGCCCACTCTAACGCCCAAAAACCCATTAAACGCTTAAGCCTGGCTAGCGCCTACATTTCCGCCTTTCATTGCGCCATCTAAAGGATGACTTTGGAACAGCTGGCCAAGGTGCTCAACAGAGTCAACGTTAATTCTCGATAAGGATTTCTATTAAAGGAAATTGCGATGGTTTTCATTTGTCAATACCGAACTATATCCCAAGAACTATGCAAATTGGTGGTCTGAGTCAAACAATGGCGTATGTGTGTATGTATGTAAGCATATACATACATATGTATGTATTTATATTGTACACAGTTGCAATTGCCCGGCAAAGATAACTCCTTTCAAAAAAAGCTATTCGCTATACCCGTTACTCGTGTTGTGCAAACATTTAGACTTTAACATACATAATACTATTTAAGAATGTATATGTTTAGCCAATATAAGTATGTATGTTTAATATTTCTAGTCAATTTATTGCACTCAAAAATAGTTTATGTTTATAAACACAGCTGCTGGTGCAGGTGATGCTCGTGCTGTAAAGCTGCCACCACTAAGAGATCGCCGAATTCAAATTGATAATTTGAACTTTTTGTCCTTTTTTCCTGTGGTCACTATAATTATCATTACGTTAAAAAAAATTAAAAACAAAAAAAAACACAAGAAGGCATATTTATATTAAGTTGTTTAGCTGAGTAACGGGTATCTAATAGTCGAGGCACTCGACTATAGCGTTCCCTCTTCTTTTTTCTTAGATGTCACTGTTTTGGGAGTTTTGTAACGAATTCAACGAGGTATGCCATTCCAACATTCGACCACTATTTCCCAGGGTTTTGATTAAGAATCCGAAAAATTGACCTGATATTATCCGGATTTGGGCCTTGTCAAAATGGGGTGGGGGACATGATTTCTTTCCGAAAAAATTTTTCAATTCATATTTTTTCCAGTAAATGACATTTTTGTGGAAATTTTTTAACGAATTCAACGAGGTATGCCATTCGAACATTCGACCACTATATCCAAAAGTTTTGATCAAATACCGAAAATCGAGGTGATTTTCTTCGGATTTTGGCGTTGTCATAAGGGGGTCATCATTTTTTCCAAAAGTTTGTTCAAATGATATTTTGTTTCTGTAAATGCCAATTTGTTGGAAATTTTGTAACGAATTCAACGAGGTATGCCATTCCAACATCCGACCACTATTTCCCATGGTTTTGATTAAAAATCCAAAAAATTGACCTGATATTATCCGGATTTGGGGCCTTGTCATAATGGGGTGGAGGACATGATTTCTTTTTGAAAAAATTTTTCAATTGATATTTTTTTCTTAGATGTCACTTTTTTGGGGAGGTATGCCATTCCAACCACTATTTGACCACTATTTCCCAGTGTTTTGATTAAAAATCCGAAAAATCGACCTGATATTATCTGGATTTGGGCCTTGTCATAATAGGATGGGGGACATGATTTCCTTTGGAAAAAAATTTTTAATTGAATTTTTTTTCTTAAATGTCACTTTTTTGGGAATTTTGTAACGAATTCAACGATGATTTGGGCCTTGTCATAATAGGGTGGGGGACATGAGTTCTTTTTTCAATTGATATTTTGTTTGTGTAAATGCCACTTTGTTGGAAATTTTGTAACGAATTCAACGAGGCATGCCATTCCAACATTCGACCACTATTTCCCAGGGTTTTGATTGAAATACCGAAAATCGAGGTGATTTTCTTCGGATTTTGGCCTTGTCATATAAGTGGGGGTCATGTTTTTTTTCGAAAAAAATTTCAAATGATTTTAATTTCTGTAAATGACACATTGTTGGAAATTTTGTAACGAATTGAACTACGTATTCCAACATACGACCACTATTTCCCAGGGTTTTGATTAAAAACCGACGTGATTTTCTTCGGATTTTGCCCTTTTCATAAGGGTGGGGGACATGCTTTCTTTTCGAAAAAATGTTTTGAATTGATTTTTTATTCTTAAATGACACTTTTTTGGAAATTTTGTAACGAATTCAATGAACATTCGACCACTATATCCAATGGTTTTGATTAAAATACCAAAAAATCGAGGTGATTTTCTCCGGATTTGGGTCTTGTCATAAGGGTTAATGGGGGAAATGATTTCTTTTCGAAAAAAATTTTAAATTTTTTTCTGTAAATGACACTTTGTTGGAAATTTTGTAACGAATTCAACGGATTTGGGCCCTGTGATGAGTGGGGGTCATGGTTTTTTTTTCAAAAAATTTTTCAAATGTTATTTTTTTTCTGTAAATGCCACTGTATCCAAGGGTTTTGATTAAAATACCGAAAATCACGGTGATTTTCTTGGGTTTTAGGCGTTTTCATAATGGTGGGGGTCATTATTTTTTTTGCAAAAATTTGTTCAAATGATATTTTTTTTCTGTAAATGACACTTTGTTGGAAATTTTGTAACGAATTCAACGAGGTATGCCATTCGAACACTCGACCACTATATCCATGGGTTTTGATTAAAATACCGAAAATCGAGTTGATTTTCTTCGGATTTTATCGTTGTCATAAGGGTGGGGGCATGGTTTTTTTGTCGAAAATATTTTTTAAATGATATTTTTTTTCTGTAAATGCCACTTTTTGGACATTTTTTAACAAATTCATCCAGGTATGCATTTCCAACATTCGACCACTATTTCCCAGGGTTTTGATTACAAAAACCGAAAAATCGAAGTGATTTTCTTCCGATTTTGGCTTTGTCATAATGGTGGGGATAATTTTTTTTTTTGAAAAAATTTTTTAATTTATATTTTTTTGTCTGTAAATGACATTTTGTGCAATTCAACATTGACCACTTTTTGATTAAAATACCGATAAATTGAGGTTATTTTCCTCGGATTTTAGCATTGTCACAAGGGTGGGGGTCATGTTTTTTTTTCGAAACATTTTTTCAAATGATATTTTTTTTCTGTAAATGCCACCTTTTTGGAATTTTTTAAAAAATTTATCCAACATTCGACCACTATTTTCCAGTGTTTTGATAAAAAAAACCGAAAAATCGCGGTGATTTTCTCCGGATTTGGGCCTTGTCATAATGGAGTGGGGGACATGATTTCTTTTCGAAAACATTTTTCATTTCTTTTCTGTAAATGACACTTGGTTGGAAATTTTGTAACGAATTCAACGAGGTATGCCATTCGAACATTCGACCACTATATCCAAGGGCTTTGATTAAAATACCGAAAATCGAGGTGATTTTCTTCGGATTTTGGCGTTGTTATAAGGGTGGGGGCATAGTTTTTTTTTTTTAAATATTTTTCAAATGATATTTTTTTTCTGTAAATGCCACTTTTTGGACATTTTTTAACAAATTCATCCAGGTATGCATTTCCAACATTCGACCACTATTTCCCAGGGTTTTGATTAAAAAAGCGAAAAATCGAGGCGATTTTCTTCAAATTTTGGCGTTGCCATAAGGGTGGGGGCATGTTTTTTTTGAAAATATTTTTCAAATGATATTTTTTTCTGTAAATGCCATCTTTTTTTTTTCTAACATTCGACCACTAATTTCCAGTGTTTTGATTAAAAAACCGAAAAATCGAGGTGATTTTCTCCGGATTTGGGCCTTGTCATAAGAGTGGGGGTCATTATATTT